TTCAGTTCTCTTTATTTTGTGGAGGACATTTTACATTTTTAAAATAGTTGTACTAGCAGGAGTGTCTGTAGAGAAGTATTTCTTTATTTAAAAATGTCATCTATTATGCCACAATGAATGAAGTACACAATCTCTTCAATTGTCCTCTGAATGGGTTTCTTAATTCTATGTGGAATTTCATATCACACAGTGTCCTGTAAATAAACATTAAAGTCCACCCTTTTCTCTACCTAAAAAAAATATATATAGATCGGCCGGGCGCCGTGGCTCACGCCTGAAATCCCAGCACTTTGGGAGGCTGAGGCGGGCGGATCACGAGGTCAGAAGATTGAGACCATCCTGGCTAACACGGTGAAACCCCGTCTCTACTTTAAAAATAAAAAATCAGCCGGGCATGGTGGCGGGCGCCTGTAGTCCCGGCTACTCAGGAGGCTGAGACAGGAGAGTGGCGTGAACCCGGAAAGTGGAGCTTGCAGTGAGCCGAAATCGTGCCACTGCACTCCAGCCTGGGCGACACAGCGAGACTCCGTCTGAAACAAAAAAAGCATCTACCATTTAATATTCTGATAACCAAGGAAAGAATAGATAAGGTCCCAGAAATTTATGAGTTGAGATTTTCTTTTAGAAATCCCTAGATACGTGTGTATATAAAAGGGAGTTTATTTTTTAAAATAAAAACACAAAAAAGAAATTGCTAGATATTTTCTCCTGGGGGATATGGAAGAAATATATGTTAAATAAAATAATTCTCAAGATTTTCTTATATATAGGCCAACTCTTAACTTGATAATTAATATAAAGTTATAAATTTCCATAGAAAACTACTTCAGAGGTAAAAGTGCTGAAAAGAAACTCACTGTCAATCAATCACCTTTATTTTTGAAACTCTCCTTCCTGTCAAGGTTGGTTAAGACTTGTTGCTACAGAGGATGCTAATTAGGGTAAACATAGATTCCAGTTTCTGAAACAGTCCTAGTTGATTTAAGCCTCTTGGCCCTGTGCATCTACTAATTGCACTCCTTTTTACTTTTAGCAGTTTGAAACTTTTAATTTTAATAGTTCAGTCACTCCTTTTCACATATTTCTCTTCATTATGTCTCATGATGTACACTTCTCTTAGAAATCGAGAATAAATGAAGAATTGAAGAACGCAGAAGCACTATCCTTATCTACGCTGGTCACTCACCCAGGGCACCTGCTAAGGCTCACTCAGGGCTACGATGCAGCCCAATTTTCAGGGATGCCATCCCCATCAGAATCTGTATGGGCAGTGCTCTCCATTCCTTTTATTGTAGTTATGCTGTTGTACATTAACCTGTGGCAATTTTTTTTGTACCTTACTCTGTAGCCAATGAAACACTTGAATATTTAAACCTAATCCCACTGAAATTAGGTTAAAATTTAAAACCTAACCCCACTGAAATTAGGTTCTCTTTTGTCTGTGTGTGTGTGTGTGTTTATACTTTAAAAAGACTTTTTAAAAGTCTTTTTAACAAGAAGAGAGTGGCAAGGACTTAAGAGTGGAAAAGTGATTTCAAATATGGGAGAGATACAAAGAATTTGAAAGAGTTAGTGGAGTTTAGAAAGTTGAATGCCAAGTGCCAACAGAGAGCCTGCCTGGCAATTCCAGATGGGCTCATTACCTGGACATGCCCCTTACTACAAAGGAGAGTGGAAGGGGCTCTTGTGTTGATTCCTGAAAGCTTGTATGTTGAACTCCACATTCTCTCTACATTCTGAAACACCATGGTGCCTTCCCTAGCCTGTTTTAGCAGAAGCAGAAAATGCTGCAGATTCATGGACACCAGAAATGTGGAAAGAAGAAATGAGATGCTGAAATGAAAATAGAGGGATAATTAAAAGTCTACATTCAGGACAGTGGGACACCTTCCCCCAACATTTCTGTATTCCTCAATTCCAAGAACACTAGCCACCAGGCATATAACCTTCTGGGAGGAGGACTAGAGGATGAATACTTTTGTTTGTTTTCTGGAAAATCTCTGGTGCAGAGAAATGACAAATAGGTACTGACATAAAGAGGGGGAGCGTTCTGCAACAAAATGACCAGAATCCCAAAGAAAGGCCATCAAGTGGCAAGCTCTAACCACACACACAAAGGTTCCAATCAGGATGTTCAGGACCTTTCTCTTAAGCACTCAGTTTTAAACATCATCAGAAATTTGAGGAAAGCATCCAATTTTATAAAAGGCAGAGACTTAAGCAAACAAACTACTTGGCTCAGCTTTCAGTTCCCGAAAAAAAAAAAACAAAAAAACCCGAAGGAAACGAGAATATGATAGGGTTGTTTTAAAGTTTACAAAAACCCTAAAATTATTGTCATCAGTGGTTTAAGGAAAAATGTTGCATCCGTGAAATAACTATGGAATACAGAAGAAGAATAATCAGAGAATAACTTTTAACAGGAAATAAAAATAACATTGCTAAAATTAAAAAGTTAATAGAAGTGTAGGAAGATAAAGTAGAGAAATTCTATCAGAAAACATAATAAAAAGGTAAAAACATACAAAATTTGCAGCATAAAAATAAAAATAAAATAATTAAAAAACGAGTTTGAATGATAAAATATGCAACAAATCCAAGTACAAGGAGAATACCGTGGAGAAAAAAGATAGGAAGACATTCTCAAAAATTAGTGCAACACCAGGAGCAATGATTCACCCTGTAATCCCAGCACTTTGGGAGGATGAGGCAGGCAGATCTCCTGAAGTCAGGAGTTAGAGACCAGCCTCGCCCAACATGGTGAAACCCCATCTCTACTAAAAATACAAAATTAGCCAGGCATGGTGGTGTGCGCCTGTAATCCCAGCTACTCAAGAGGTTGAAGCAGGATAATCGCTTGAACCTGGGGAGCAGTGGTTGCAGTGAGCACTCCAACCTGGGTGACAGAGTGAGACTCCATCTCAAAAAAAAAAAAAAAAAAAAAGATAGTTAAAGGAATTTCCCCAAATGGAAGAATATGAATTTGCAAAAAGAAAAAATGCCTATTTTAATGCACATCTCATCTCTGAAATTTCAGAGCACTAGGGATAAACAGAATATTATAAATGCTTTCAGAGAGAAATAGATTTTTGGAAAAAAAAGAAATCTGAAATCAGAGTATCACCAGACACTCTATAACCACATTTGAAGATAGAAGATGATAATGCAATGCTTTCACATTTGTGAAGGACATTTTTATTCACACTAAAATTCTGTTCCCAACCAAACGATCAATCAATCAATGTCAAACTATCAATGAAGTATGGAAATGTATTAAAAGCATTCTCAGATATACAAGGTCTAAAAAAATGATCTCCCATGAACATCATCTCAAGAAGTTACTGGACAACGAGGATGTTAACTAAAATAGAGGAAGACACTGAATCTTCAAAATAAGTTCATGATCACTGCGCAACAGCTCTAGAGTGAAACTAGTCCACATTGGAGCCTGGAGGATGGAAGTCTCCAGAATGAATGTTTTCTAGGGCTAGGGGTAGGCTGGGGAGGGGCAGAATTGATAAAACACCAGTTTTATTTGATCATGGGGAAACTAAGATTCAAAAATGTCTTATTGATCAGTTGGAAAGATTGATATAATACTTGCGATATGTAAACCTAGGCAAATAAAAAATAAAAATCATAACTAACTTTTGGAAAAACAAAAATTGCACAAAATAGAAAATTTAGCTATGCTACTTGACTCAACTCTGAACAACACTAACGTAGTCATAGCAACATAAATAATGATCATGAATTCAACAAAACTAATTTTAAAACATTATATTAAAACAATAGGTAAAGAGGAAGCATGAGATAAGAATGCTAAATCTTCGTTTGATAAGAGAGAAATACATAGCAATTAAAATTGACAAGTTAAAAAACAGCATTAGAAAATACAAGAAAACAAATGCCCAAGGAAATAGCCAAGAGAGCTTGTGAACGGAAACACAGGACTAGGATATTTGGGCTTCAAGGAGATATTTTTCAATATCAACCTTGTAAAGGTATTTTTTTTTAAGAGTTCAAACTATGTTAATATATTACTTGGGAAAATAAAAAATAATATTTCAAATAGAATAAAAATTAATTAAACTTGGAAGGAAAGAAGGAAGGAAGGAAGGAAGGAAGGAGGGAAGGAAGGGAGGAGGAGGAGGGAGGGAGGAACGAATGGAGGGAGGGAAGAGGGGGAGGGAGGAAGGAAGGGAGGGAGGGAAGGAGGAAAGGAGAGAAAAAGGAACTTTTCATCCATGTATTACATTACAACTACCAGTTAAAGGAAATAAACTGTGTGGTCAATTCTATAGATGCCAAAAAAAAAATTGATACAATTCTATACCTATAGCTGATATAAATGAAATAAGGGAAAAAAGCCCAAAGCAAAAACAAAGGAGAATTTTTCTTTATCTGTTAACAAAGAGCTTCCTGAAATCTACAGCAACCACTGTGCTATTAAAATGACAAACGAGATGAGAACAAGAATAGTTACTCTCAACACTAAAATTTAGTAATTACTTACAATCACAACCAATACCACAGACTAGAAAAATAAAAGAAGTCAATGTCATGAACAACGGCCACAGTATATTGTTAATTTAAAAAAAAAAAAAAAAAGACGTTTTAGTACGTTCCCATTTGTGTGTATGTATACATACTACTAAAAAGTAATATAAAATAAAATTTAACACAGGTCATCTCTGGGTAGAATTGTGGATGACTTTTAGCTTTTATTTGCTGATATATGTGTGCAGTTTTCTACAGCTGCAGAATTTTTGAAATTTTCTACATTGTTCTACACGTTTATTATATATTATATGTTTTATTAGAGTCACATTCATTCTAAGAAACTTTCTTATTTTTTTTTTACGTTTCTGAAAAACATATCCTTATCAGCCATCTTCTTCTCCATTCCTTCTGTCTTTGTTAATAAACTTGAAAATATAACTGAAAAAACAGAATTTAAACATTTATGTTTAAATTAATAACATTTATGTTTAAATTACCTCCATGTATTGTTCTGCGCTTCAGAGAAGAATTGATCCTGAGTAAAATGGTGAAATTGAAGAGATGTTTCTTCAATAGCTTCCTGACTCCGTTTTTCATCTCTTCTACTTCCATTTCAGTTTTCCTGAAATCAATTATGAATTGATTTTTGAGTGTAAGTTGGTGGTTGTTTACACTCATCGAGATAGTCAAATTTTAAATGTTTCATCCCAAAGTTGATGCTTCCCAAGGTTCTGATCTGGGCCCTACTTGATTTCATAAATACTTAATTGCTGTTAGACTCTGCTCCCATAACATCTATGCATGCCGCAGTTTTGGTAACATAGAGCTCTTCTTAATGAAACTCCAATTAATGTACTTAAACTACCATTATATCATCCATTCCCTTTGTAAAATGCAATGGCTGATACCCAAAGCATGCTAGACGCTCTCACCTTTTAGCTGTCCAAACTAATCATGAGCTTCTGTTTCTGCCAGTTGACTTGTATGTGTACCAAAAAGTTGGTAACATTTCTTCCCAAACCAGTTGTCCATACTATTTTAATTATATAATTAAATTATATACTAAATGTGATTTTGAAAAGTGTGACAAGGGTTGTTTCTATGAAAATGCATGTGACTATTTTAAAAAATTGAATAAAGGTGAGTTGCTAAAAATAACACTGTTAAATTAAATGTTGGCAAGATAACTAAAACACTAGTTTATAAAACTAATACAAACCCAGTACAGTCTTCACTCATTACTTTGCAAGTTTCTTTGGGTTTTCACTCTACTTTGAAAAATAAAAACATTAAACCATATGTCATGCATTATGTGGTATATGTAAAAAAAAAAGCAATGCATATTATAAGCAGAAGATATTTAGCCAAAGAAAAGGTCTTGACTTATATCAAAAGATCAGTGAATGAGTGCAGAATTTTATGTTTTAAATGTAAGTATTAAAAGGTATTTTTAAATTCCCTCCTATAACCAAATTTTATAATCAGGTCAATAAATCAACTTCTGGACCAAACTGCATTAGTTAAAAAAACTTCAACTGAACATCAAAATTATTCATTTACATATCTGCCTCCTACTGGAAAAGGAGTACAATCACTACATACAGATCTTACTCTTTGCTCTCTAGCACCAATTAAACACCCTTAAAAAAATGTTTGCCTCCTAAAAACATTCAACGGCTCCTCATGGAAGAATAACATAATGTCAAATTCTTGATTTTCACATTCAAAATTTCCTGTGAATTTTTATTAAACTTCATAAATCCAAATTGAAGCCCCTGGGCAAATTGTTCTGCTTGATTTCCTTTACAAAAAAATCAAAACTATTTATCTGCCTTTCCTCATGTGGTTCGTCCACTTAGAATGCTCTCTCACTAATTTCAGTATCCTATCCTACCATAATCCTAATTCACACAGCCATTCAGGGAGGTCTTAAATGCTTTCCCTAACTCCTTACCCTGACCTGATAGTTGGCTATTTTCCTTTCTGGTATCAAAGCACAAGTCATGATAAGTCAGCTCACTCTGGAAAATCCTGGGACTGACTGAAGACCCAAATATCAAACCAGCAAGGACCCAAGGGAACTGGTCTTACTCAGAGCTAAATGTAGAAGTTCAGAGATGCCGTTGAGCAGCTGAGACACAGCACTGGGCTTGATTTTAAGTTGAGTAATGATTCAGACAAGAGTCAGCCCAAGACTTCCAAGCCCAGAGCACAGGAAAGGCAATAATAATCTCCGTGGAAGACTGCCATCATCCTTGAGTTGTGTTGTGAACTTACAGACTCCAACAAGATCTCAGAGACTCTGTGGGCTACAGGACTGTGCAACTGGTGTGATTCTCTCCTCCTTACCTTGGTCGGGCAGTGTTACAAGGCCAACTTGGGTGTGTAAGGAGCAAATGCAAAAGCCAGATTGAAATAGGCTACAAATGCCTGTGAGTTGGCAACCAGCCAGGATTTGGAGGCAACATGGGCACTTAGCGAGATCCCGAGAGAACACTGGATCTGAGGTCTGGAGAACAATAGAAATAATTTATTACAGGAGCCCAAGAAACCAGCTGGGTCACCAGGTACCATGTCTGAAGTACCGACTTAATTTTAAACCATGAAAAATTGGGAACTTTCATGAAAGGGAAGCACTAAAGCTACAGATACTTCCTAATGTAGAAAATGCTCAGTAACTGACTGGATCATAACTTTAGCAAAGGGTATGAATTCAACCAAATTTTATGACCTTGGAAGAGACATAGACGGGGGAAATGACATTTTATCTCACAGATAAAAACAGTTTGACTGAGAAATTGGGCTGATAATATTTCGTAGCATAGCTAACTAAGAGATTAATAAACCAGTGACTTAACTTAGATTTTTAAATATCTTTTAAAAGATTTTTAAAAAGATTCAAAGGCTTTAGAATCTTTGGACAATTTTGATGATAAGCAGTTGGGTGGCAGAAAGCATAGTTTTATTGAGCTAAACACCTCAAATGAAGCTTCTTCAGACATGAGGTGATGAAAAAAATAAAATTTAAAAGAAGAGAAACTTCTTCATTCATCATAATAATTTTTAAAAATCTGTTAGTTACCAAGTCACCATGTTTTAGGACCATATTTCTGGATTCCTAGAGAATGCCATTTACTATGACTTGATAAAAATTTAAGTCAACTGCTATTCAGATTCATTTGCTATTAACGAAGCACCTGTATCAACTCTTTCTAATATCTTTGCAGTGGTGTTTTGAGTTTTGTTAGGTATCTGTTTTATAATATTGTCACATCCCCAAAGTAATGATATCAAAAATAAATATTAACAAAATTCATACATATGCAGTATCTTCTTCCATGAAATACTACCTGGCTTTGGGCATTTTTTAAGAGCTACAAATCAGTTTCACATATTTGGTCAAAGAATTGGAATAAATTAGGTGTCGTCCTTATAGCCTGATTCGTATCTCTTTTCTTCTGGTACTATTATACCTGTTTTTAGTATTAGTTGTGCGAAATCTTTTAAGATATAGAGAGGTACAACTAACAATATAGTTAATAATTATTGGGCACTTATGTGCAAGAATTTATTGTAGGCACTTCACATATATGATGTAATCTAACCCACACAAGATTATCTCAAGTATCTATCCTTACATTTGCCATTTGGCAAATGAACAACCTCTTTTACAATCATAGTTCTAAGATTGTCTAAGATCACGCAGCTAGTAAGAGGTGGACCTGGGATTTTTAACCAAGTTCTCAAATTTTTTAACAGTACATTTAATTTTGTGTGTGTGTGTGTGTGTGATTAAGATGTTATCTCTTTCATTCTTTTATGCAAAAATTTTGCTTTCTTCTTCGGAAATTTATTGAACATTTAGTGCATTGCTTAGTGTACAGGTTGTTTAATAGGAATCAGAAATGGCTAAAAATCAATCCCAATTCTCAGAAGCTTATGGTAGATGGTAAATATTTTCTAATTAAAATGACAACTTTTTAAATGGGAAAAAATGAAGAGGACTGGGTGTTTGGCCCTCAAAGTTAGCCTAGGACATTTGGATGTTGCAGGAAGGAAATTAAGTGGCTCTCACTGCACTTCACAGAGAGTAACTTGAACATTGTGAAGAATGGAATCCAATATCTATTGAATACAAATGGGGTTTGTGTCATTATCCTTGGCTGTGGAACATGTTTTTAATATGCTTGTCTATGTGATAAGATTGTAAGTTCCTTAAGTGTCGAGACTTTTTTTATATTTCTATAATGCCACAAAATCTAGTATACTGTTATGTCACTCAAGATTGGGTTTAATTGAATTGAGATAGGATCTTTTTATCTATATTTAGTACTCTTGCATGAAATACTTGGGAAATTTCTCATCTTTCTTCCACAGCACTTAAGCTGCTGCAAAGATAACCAAACAAGAGTTTGTCCACAATTCCCATTCCCAATGCAAAATAAAGCTCTGCCCCTTCACTCTTTCTTAAAGAAGTGTTTAAAAAAAAAAAAATTTTAGACACAGTGTCTCACTGTGCTGCCCAGGCTGTCTCAAACTTCTGGCCTCAAACAGTGCTCCCATCTTAGCCTCCTAAGCATCTGGGACTACAGGCAAAAGCCACCATGGCTGGCTCACATATTTTTAAACACCACTCTTTTCCTGGATTCTGATACTGTCATTACATTGAAAGTATTAATCCAAAAAATTTTCTGATGACTGATTTTTATAGGAAAATAGAAGTTTGAAAGACTATCTTTGGAATCTAAGGACAATCTGCCTTTCAATAAAATGATCTGTAATTTACTTACTATTATAATATCATTTCCAAAAATATTAATGTCAGCAAAATTCTCAGACAAAATATGCATCTGTTTTTTAAAATAGGCATTCAATTTTGTAGCACTATATTTTTCTTTCTTTAATTACACATAATTAGTGATAGATTGGCCACAAAAAGCTCAAATCTTTGAAGTACCATATCGCAGCATTCTGATTGTGTTTACAAGATCATGTTACAAGGTTTGAGAGTCAGTTCCTTATTGAGATTGCAAAGATATTGGTTAGACAGATTTCACAGAGAAGAGATCACCTCTTCAATGTGTTTGATTCTAATAGCTGAACTTTGCAGGTTCACGTTATTAATGTAAAGATATGATCTCAATGTTTCATACCTTTTGACCTAACCAAAAAGAGTCTTGGAAGTGAGCATTCCTAAAGTCAAAAACAGAATTAACTTCTTTGAACTTAAACTTATTACTGCATTTTTTCCTTCATTCTGTAAATTCTTCATCCTGTGTTTTTGGTGCACTGGAATTAAGCTTTAAAAATGTCTAATTCAATGATGTGTCAAAATCTGTACAATACATCTTAGAAAATACTTACAATTCACTTAATTACTTGTAGAGCAGCAGAGTAGCATAGAATGAATTATACTTTGATTTTTCACTACAGGCTCAGGTGGTAAAGTAATTTGTCCTGAATTAAGAGATCATGATAAGATAAAAACGCAACAGTCAAATAAGCATGTGCCTTAGTGGTTTGAAAGCTGAACAGCCTGTCACTTGATTTAGGGATGGATGGAATCCTCTTTCTACCATTTCTTGCATGATCTGAAACTTTTTTTTTTTTTTTTTTTTGAGACAGAGTCTCACTCCTTCATCCAGGCTGGAGTGCAGTGGAGATCTCGGCTCACTGCAATGTCCACCTCCCAAGTTCAAGCAATTCTCTGCCTTAGCCTCCCAAGTAGCTGAGATTACAGGTATCCGCCATCGCGTCCAGCTAATTTTTTTGTATTTTTAGTAGAAACGGGATTTCGCCATCTTGACCAGGCTGGTCTTGAACTCCTAACCTTGTGATTCACCTGCCTCAGCCTCCCAAAGTGCTGGGATTACAGGCGTGAGCCACTGGCCTGCCCGACCTGAAACTTTTTATTCCTGTTCTAAGCAATGAGGACAATT